GAGAGAGAGAGAGAGAGAGAGAGAGAGAGAGAGAGAGAGAGAGAGAGCGCCATATTCAAATGTTAGTAGAAAGTAACCAAACAATTGTTTAAACTGGCACTAAACAGGAACAGAGTAATCTGATATCTAGAACCCAAGTGTTTAGGATTTTCTAGAACACATAATTGCCTTTTCTCTCCACTTTACTGTCATTTCTGCCACCAAAGCATTTTCTTTTAGCTTGGGAATGTAACAATCACAGAAAACCTGACTGAAATCTTACTGGAAAATTGAAGAGATTAAAGTCTAATGCAGAAGTGAAAAGGGGAGAGTTACCATCATAGAAAATAAATAGATTTTAAAAATACTTGTGATCTAATGTATGTTATGTATTTCATTGTTGTTTTTTGGTGGCCTTTATGGATGGTTGTCCAAAAGACTATAACAAGGTAGAGGTATATCTGTTCATTCAGGCAATGTTCTGTAGTAAAAGCAAGCCAAAGTTAATCTAGCTAATATAAGCAGAATGGATGATACAGACACTTGTGCTCTGATTTAGGGCAGGTAGCATGAGACCATGGTCAACGTCTGGAATCTGTGACAGGCTCAGAACATGAAATTTGATGCCCTAGACTCATTTATATCTGTGACAGATGTCACAGCCACGCACTCTGAGGAGTTCATCTTCATCACATTGTGGAAATTTAAGTCAGTGCTCCCAAACAGAAGTTCATTCTTCACTTTTGAAAACTATCTTTTTGTTTTGTTTTCATTTTTTCTAGACAGGTTTCTCTCTATCTCTGGCTGTCCTAGAACTCACTGTGTAGACTAAGCTGACCTTGAACACAGATTCACCTGCCTCTGCCTCCTAAGTGCTGGGATTAAAAGTATGCACCACCACAGCCTAGCTTGAAAAATATCTTTATAGTCAACTTATTTTTTAAATATGTGTATTAGTAGTTGTCTTTATTATGTCTGCACACTGCATTGTTCTTGATGCCAGCAGAGACCTGGGTGTTGTATCCCCTGGAATTGGAGTCACAGATGATTATAAGCTGTTTTTGTGATTGCTGGGTACCAAACCCAGGTCCTCTGCAGAAACAGCAAGAGCTCTTAACCATGGAGCCATTTCTCCAACCTATAAGTGAATTTTTATTGAAATACAGTATACTGTATTTCATAAAATCCTGTCTGTATTTGTTGGCATGATTTGAGACCATTTATTTTTTGAGGTTTCTTTAATTTTAATTTTCCCCTTTAATCTTTTCCTAGGTGTACTGATGTCAACAGACTATGAGCTTTCAGAACCTCTGGAGAGACTACAAAGTTCTGATTGTTATGGTACCTTTAATCGGATTCATACATTTGGGGTGGTACAGAATCAAAAGCAGCCCTGTCTTCCAAATTCCTAAGGACGATACCACTGAGCTGGATAGTCTGGGGCTTGCAAGTCTACCAAAGAGCCAGGAGAAGTAGCAGGCTTGCAGTTTTCAGGTAAGTTCCATTAAACCTGGTCAAGCATGTGTTAATTTCCAGGATTGGAACTTTATAGTGCTATAGAAAGAAAAAGACTAAACTGAAAAGTTATTGTTTTGTTAAGATATATTCAAATAGCCCATTATTTTTTTAAGAAAAAAGTAGGCATATTTGTAGTTCAAAATAATTTTCTATGAATAGAAATTACTGAATTCAAGATGTGATTATATACTTCAAATCTCTAATCATTCATCCATAATTCCAAAATTTGAAAAGTTTTAGAAAGCAAAACATTTGTGTAGTGACAATTTTAGAATTTTAGTTTCTTTAAAAACCACAGAAATAGTATATGAAAGTGCTTTCCTTTTGGTTTCCGGTGTGGAGATATGGGGCTGCTTCCAACTGTCCCCGCAGCTAGGATTTGCCTCCTGCGCTAGCAGAGGTATGGTTTTACCAGCTGCAGAGAGTTTCTGCAAGTGTATGATGTGTGGAATTCTGGGAACTTTTCAGAGAGCATATGAATGCTAGGGCCCCAGGAGGTGGGTTCATGATTCTTTGAGGATGGGGGGGGGGTTGTTTTCAGCTTGTTAGTATTCTTCCTCAAAAAAGAAACAAAAGGAAAGAAATTAGATTCAGGGATCTCTCACTTCGCCCTCCCTCCCCTCCCCTTCCCCACTATCCTCTTTCTCCCCCTCTATCCTTTTCTCCTATCTAGGGATATGGGGTGAAACTAGGTGTGTGAGGGTGGAGGTAAAAAGAAAGTAACAAAGAACCAGCTAGGCATGTGTCAAACTCCTTTAGCTGCAAAACTTGATTTTAATTGACCTGAGGCAATTGGAAGTATTTCTTCCACTTAATCTTAAACTTTAGGTTCTCTATAAAAATGCCTTTCATTCTGAGAGTTGTGTTGATTATGATACACACTAACTTTTTTTATCAGAGGGCAGGGTGTAGTGGCCCACACCCGTAATTCCAGGATTTAGAAGAGGACACTAAGGCAGGTATATGTTCATGAAAAGATAAAGAAAGGAGGGGATATGTTCTATGGAGGTGTGATGAGGTATGGGGGAAGGGAGTGCCTCGGTGCGACTATGCCTAGGCATCCCTTCTCCCTGAGAAACCAGCCACAAGACAGTATAGTGTGGAATAGTTTATTCAGGGCATGGGGAGGTGAGTTAAGAGGGTGGTAGAAACACAGAGAGGCAGAGAGAGAGAGAGTAGCGGAGAAGAGGCTGGCCATGAACACATGGAGAGAGATGGGGAAGGGAAGAGCAAGGGAGCAAGAGGGCAAGAGAGGGGCAAGCAGCCCCTTGTATAGTGGATCAGGCCTAGCTGGCTGTTGCCAGGTAACTGTGGGCTGAGCTTAGACAGAATGCTAACAGCAAGAGGATTGTAAGTTAACGTTTTACTTCTTGCTGCCCATAAATGTAAAGTTTGTGTTGAGCTCTGTACAAACTAATAAACAATATAAATGAAGGCTCTTGTTTCCCTTGCAGTACTCCTATTTTATAAAATAGGCTATGGAGTACTGTGGTCAGTGGGCTTAATTCACCAACTACTGTGATGGTCTAATCATCTTGTCATTGGGGTACTGAATTATGCTGCTCAAATTCTGGACCATTTCTTCTTTGCTTCAATTTTACCTCCTCAATTAGTCACTTACCCCAAAATGCATATAGAAAAGGTAAAGGAACATGCTAACTGATTTTCAAATGCTTTAGTGCTCTGGCAGTTTACGATTTGAGTATTTGGTGTCAATTTAAGCATGTGGTTTTGCCATTGAAACAGATGGCTATAAGCTATTGTAAACAGACAGCTTTTGTGGAAATTTACAAGCCCGAGTAGTCATAGACCTTGTAAATAGGTAGCCTTGGCAGACAATACCAACTTAGATAAGGACAAGCGAGTCACAGGCAGAGTCATAGTGACCTGTCCCCTGAATCTTCACCCAGCTGATACCCAGTTCTGAAAGATACCTGTATTCCCCCTGAACACCCACACTCCAGTGTCATTCCCTTCCCCACATCCTGCCTTTCTGTGTTTATAACCTGTGTGAATGAATTACAATTCGAGAAAAAAATAAATAAATTATTTTAAAAAAAAAAGTATTTCAACCCAATGGAAGGACACCTAGATGCAAAAGGGATAAATTCTAAGCCCCTTGGTGGCTACTATAAAACCAGGACTAAATCCTACATATATCTATGTTGTGTTTTTCCTTCATTTATGTATCTACTGATAAAATTTGATTTATAAATTCAAATAGGGTACAGTTAGAGATTAACAATAACTGCCTGCAAAACATAATGATTATGAGAATACAAATAAAATTCACTTAAAACCAAAAAAAGAAGCATGTGGTTTTGCAGACAGTGTATACTCCATGGCCATCACCATTTTTGTAGTGCTCAGTTTCCCTTCTTGTATCTTTCTAAGTTGGTGCTTATGCTGTTGGATTTTGACATGACCCAAGTAGTCTTTGATAGTATTCTTGCTGGAAAGCTCAGCTTGAGTATTTTTTTGCCTCAGGCTTAAAATGAGTCATTCTTTACAAAAGACCCTAATTCTGTTTAGGAGAAAGTTGTCTGCAATCATATTTTAGTAACATTTTACATTAATTCTCTTGATTTAAAAGGCAAAGTTTTATTGATACTTTCAGTCATCTATAGCTGAAAAAAAAGAAATCTACCGGACATGTATTGAGGAAAAATCAGGAGCATACATTTGGTGCTAACTTTTAGGATAGTAAATTACATTATTAGATTAGAGTGGGTGTGATGGTGCATGCAGTAATCCTCATATCTGTGAAGAGATGGCAAGAGGGTCAGGAGTTAAATGTTACCCTTGACTACATAGGACATTTGAGGCTAGCCTGAGCTACATGGGATCCTTGAGAAAGAGGGAAAGGGAAAGAGTAGGAACACAATTTTATCAGAATAGTTTCTATTGTTACGATTTTGCTGAATCTAAAGTAGCCGTTGAAATAATTCTTAAATTTTGGCCTTGTTAAGTTGTCGGAATACCAGGCCTCACAGGATGCACTTTACGCCCTTGTGCTTACGTAGACTTGCTCTGCACGTTTGCTTCTCCACCTGGATATGAGAACATTGTGTGGTGCTTAGAACCTGACAAAGCATGACCCCCTTTTCTTTGGTCATTTGGGACATTCCTTAGGGCTTTTGTATTTATTGGCACCGATCAACATTTTGCAGAGCATTAGTTAACTAGGGACTTGAAAATCTTTGACTAATAGATAAAAGTATAAAATTAACTCTGATTTTAACCATGTCTTTAAAGCATAGTTTATATACTAATACAGTTGTTTTGCAGATTGGTTCAACCAAATGCAGACTGTGCTAATGAGTTAATACAGTAGGAAAACTAGCAACTACTGATTTAGTTTCTTTTCCTGTTGCTTTAACAAAATATCCTGACAAACTTAAGGGCGAAGCGATTTTTTATTTATTTTTTTTTTGGGGGGGGGGGCTTACAATTTCAAGCTACAGTTCTTTATTGTGGGGAAGCTAAGGTGGCAGGAGTGGCTAGCCTCATATCCAGTTAAGAGCTCAGAGCACTGATGCCCAGTTTACACACACACTCATTCTCTCCCTCCCCCACCCCTCCACATATAGTTATATATGTATATAAATGTTAACTTTTTCCCTAGAATCCTCTCCTTAGAGAATAGTATCACCCACACTGCAGGCCTCTCACTAATTGAGGACTTGTCCCATTGAGTTTCCCATCACAGTGACTCTAGAATGTGTCAGGCTAACAGTTAAAACTAACCATCATAGCTATCTGACTGTCATGTTTTATACAAACAGGATTTTATCTAAATACATTCCTGTTTAAGCACAGTTTCAAAGCTGAACAATGATTTTTTTTAATTATACCAAATAAATAAAAAAATGTGGTAGTTTTTGTTTTTTGATGTTTGTTTGTTTGTTTGTTTGTTTGTTTTAAATGTCCTGGGAGAACAAGGCCTTAGATTTGTTTTGGGGGGGTTTTGTTTATTTGTTTGGTGGTGATTGTTTCCTAATTGAAAAATAATTTTTATACACTATATTATGATCATGGTTTCCCCTCCCTCCTTTCCCAGATCCTCCTCACCTCCCCACTCATCCAACTTACGGCTTTTTCTCTCTCAAAACAAACAGGAAAAAATACAATAAAACTAAACAGTGAACAAAAAACATACATGCAGAGCCATAAACAAAATCCAGAAAAACACAAAATAAGAAGCCATAAAGTAGAAGACCAATAAAGTTTTTAAAAAATGCAATGTGAGACAAAAAAAAAAAATACACACACCAATGAATTATTTTTGTGTTGGCCACCTGCTAGCCATGAGGTTTGTCCTTATGTGTGGTTTGTGGAGCTCTCGGAAAACCTAGTTTTTCCTTTAAAAGCAGTTGTCAGTTGGAGGTAGCTTCTGGGTTAGGAATGGAAGCTTGTGTCTGCTTCTCCTTAGCGCTGGAACCCCATTTGTTTTGGACCTGTGCAAACTGCCACAGTTGCGGTGACTTTATATGTGCCAGTACACTACGTCTGGAAGATATTTTCCTTGGAGTCATCCATCACCTCTAGCTCTTAACAATCTTTCTACCTCCTCTTCCATGTGGTTCCCTAAGTCCTAAGGGAGAAGGGTTGATGAAGATTTCCTTCCCGTTAGGATTGAGTGTTCCAAGGTCTCTCATTCTCTGCACATTTTCCACTTGTGAGTCTGTAAGTTCTCATCTACTACAGGAGGAAGCTTCTATGATGATGGCTGAACAAGATTCTAATCTATGAGTGTAACAGAATGTCAACAGGAGTCATTTTATTGCTATGATCTCCTAACAATAACTGGGTTTTCCTCTAGGTTCAGTATCTATCTATGTTCAGGTAATTGACCACTTTAGCTGTGTCAGGCATGAGTTCCTTTTCATAAAGTGCACCTAAAATTCAATCATATAGTATTTGCTTACTCACATGGGTGCACCAGCAATAAAGCAAGCCGGTCAGTATTGTAGGTCAAAGGTTTGTAGCTGGGTTGGTGTTTACCTTTCTCTCCTGGTATTGTGCAGAGTATCTTTAGTACTGTGAACACTAGTTGGTAAGGATGAAAAAGCCTTAGTTTTCTAATGTGCCAGTTAAAATTCTTTTTCTAAAAATGGAGCAGAGTATTAAAGTTACTAAACTTGCTACCTATAAAATATTTTGGAATTATTCTAAAATTTTTTAATTTCTTATAGAAAGAAGCAACTTTGAATCTGAACTTGATAATAAAAGAAGAAATGAAAAACCCCAGTTGGATTAGAAAGAACTGGCTTCTTGTGGCTGGGGTGACTTTCATAGGCGTCCATCTTGGAACATACTTTATACAGAGAGTTGCAAAAGAGTCTGTGAGGTCTCAGTCCAGAGACAAACAAAAGAATATTGAAGAATGACGCAAAATAAATATTTGGGATTATTAATGTCATTAAATTAATCTATGCTGGTTATTGTCTGAAAACCACTTGATTTTGTAGCCGGTAATGCTGCATGTGCAGACTTTCATACCTGGAAATAGTCTTTAATGTTCAAACACATGACACTGCAATAAAATGAAAACCATGTGAACAAACTAAAGCTGCCTTCTCAAGTTACACCTGAAGCAAGATGTCTCGTTTAGAAGCCAAGAAGCCATCATCGTGTAAAACTGAACCATTGACAAGTGAGAAAGTCAGGTCTACACTTTCTGTCTTGAAAGGAATCATAGTCTCATGCTATGGCCCTTCAGGGAGGCTGAAGCAGTTGCACAATGGATTGGGAGGTTGCGTGTGTACAACCTCACAGTCCTCAGCCCTGCTTCGAAACCTTTCAGTCACCCATCCCATATTAAAGGTCCTAATGTCATCTGTACAGAATCACGTGTCCTGCTTCAGTGACTGTGGCTTATTCACAGGTATTCTGTGCTGCAACTTGATTGAAAATATTCAGAGAATAGGTTTGACACCCACAACTGCTATTAAATTAAATAAATACCTCTTGAGTCTCTGTACCAGTTATCTCAAGTCTGAAGCCTGTAGTTGTCGAATTCCAGTTGACTTCAGAAGTACACATACCTTCCTCAGCTTGGTACGCAGTGTCTTAACAAGCAAACCAGCCTGTATGCTCACCAGAAAGGAAATAGATCACATAAGTGCTTTGATTTTGAAAGCTTTTTTGCTTACAATTCCAGAAAGTGCAGAAGAACGAATGGTTTTAGGGAAAAGTATAATTGTTCCCTTAAAGGGCCAAGGAGTCATAGATTCTACTGTATTACCTGGACTACTCATTGAAGCATCAGAAGTTCAATTAAGGAGATTATTACCCACCCTAAAGACAAGTGCCCTTAGGGTGGCACTCTTCTGTGCATCTTTATCTGGAGATTTTTCTAATGTTGGAGAAGGAACTGTGGTGGTCCATTATAAAGTATCTCTTGAGAATGCAGTTTTAGAGCAGTTGCTTAATCTAGGAAAGCAGCTAGTCACTGACCATGTAGATCTTGTCCTGTGCCAAAAAGTAATACACCCATCTTTGAAACAGTTCCTCAATGAGCATCACATTATTGCCATCGACAGAGTTGGAGTGACTCTGATGGAACCTCTGAGCAAAGTGACAGGTAAAAGGTTCTCCTGGCTTTTGCCCATTAAAGTTAACGTATCACTCATTCTGAGCAGGGAGGTTTGGTTTGTGTCATGGTTAATACCTTGAAAATTTTTAGAAGCCACCAACCTTAGAGCATTTGTCTCATTTCTGGAGGCAAAAATTGTTTCTAGAAAAGATCCCATTACCCAGTTACTAAAAACTAGAATGGTGGTGGCCATTTCAACCTAGGGGTAGTTTGTTATGATCTAACCCTCAGATATTTTACAGGCAGTTGAAAAGTCTAACATAATTATAAGGCCTTTAATGTTGTACACAACAATTTTTAACATTCACAGAGCTTAAATACTGTTACATTCAGGAGATGATTTTTCTGGCTGGCTGGGGTACTTCATTTTCTTCACTTTTATTAAAACTCCAAGAAATTTCTGTACTTAGGCCCAAATATTTGTGCCTACTTGGAGGTGGGGGGGAAGGGGGCATATCTATATATTCTGGATGTTTACCAAGAATATCTATAGCTGGGTTCTTAAGATCAAAGGGCACCCTTTACTGTCAGGGCTATCAGGGCTACTAAGAGGTCTGGCCCTCAGAACTTTAAAATTATTTGGTGAGTTGATACATAGAGTAACAATCACAAACTCAGCAGGCAAAGCACACATACATGGTTAGGACAGAAGTAAGTTGAGTTCCTAATGGGAGTCACTTCTCAAATCAATGTCCCTGTAACTGTACTGACAAACTATCAGAAATTGATTGCAATAGTTGCTTTTTGTTGCGCAAGGTCCATCTATGTTTTGGGGCTAGTGATAAAGTCCTAACTACAAGCTATCACATATGCCTTGTGAATAACAACCCACTGAACTAATTAATGTTAACTAAAAACCATGTGTGCCAAACACTGGAGACTGTCAGCCTAATAACCATCAAAATGAAAGTTACTAAGAACATGCAAGTAACTATTTGGAATTCATTTTTTATGATCTAAATTGTCTACTAATTTGCATTATTCTGGCTATTTCCAGCTTCACCCAGTACAGTGGATATTCTGGATTTGTAAATTAAAGTGTAGAATGTTTTCCCATAGCACCAGTGCTTGTAAACAGTCGCTGGTTTTCTGCACCAGTCCAAAATTGTTATGTAACTCAGATACGTAAAACACAAAATGAAAATTCCAACTCCTAAAGTTTTCTGGTATCTGGACATGATAGCGCATACCTAATTCCAGCACTTGTGAGGAAGAAACAGGATTATCAAGATCCTCAGTCCTCAGCTACATAGAAAGTTCAAGGCCAGCCTGAGCTAACTCTCTCTCTCAAAAAAAAAAAAAAATGAATTGCTACAAGTTATAGTTTCGATATTCAAATGTTAAGTGTTATTTTTTACAGAAATTGGTGTAGAGTCCTTATATAACATAACTACCTTTGAGATTTTGCAAATATTCAAATCACCTTTATTCATATTTTAACTTGTGATCTATGTAAGAATCAAGTCAAGAACAGTATGGTGAAATAAGTATGTTATATTTTTTATTTTGGCACTTGCATACCTATTTACATTAAAGAAAGAACTCCTAGACAAAGTGGGGGAAGGGGGCAGTGACCTAAAGAGAGCTAAATGACTCTTTTTAAAAGGACTTTTCCTACCCTTTTCCAAAATTAATGAGCTCCTTAATGTGTGTGTGTGTGTGTGTGTGTGTGTGTGTGTGTGTGTGTGTGTGTTGGTTTTTTTTTTTTTTAAACATTAAGTAGGCTTTGAGGGATCCTGGACTTCCTAAAAATATATTCATTTTTTTCATGTGCCTTTTCCTGAAAATACAAAATAGCTTTTAATAGATGTTCTGATAGGTCTATAAGGCTAGGAATAGAACTTAGTGACAGAGCATCTGCCTAACATTGGCATAGTTAATTCCAAGAAGCATACACAAACACATACATACACACAATTAAATGAATACATAATACCAATCTGCCTAATTACTTTTATTGACCTAGAAAGTCTTGATTCCACTATGGATAGCATTATTCTCTGGGCAGGAATTCTTAGTATAAAGCTGAGAAGGCAAGCTAAGCATGCATACATCTTCCTGGTTCCTGACTATAGGAAGAGCCACTTTGAGCTCATGCTTCTGTAACTTCTCTACTGTAATGAACTGTGTTCCAGAATAACCGTTTCCCCCTTAAGTTGCTTTTGATGGAGTATTGTTACAGCAATGGAAAAGTAACTATGACAAAATCCATAAACAAAAGTAGCCCAAACAAGCAAAGATGGCCACATGTACATTTGTAATTCCAGCATTCAAAAGCCTGAAACAAGAGGATTATTGCATGTTCATCTTGATCTACATGGTAAATTCCAGGCCAGCCAGGACTACCTAGCAAAATGCCATGCCAAAGAAGAAGAGGAGGTGGAGGATTAATATATGATTTAAATAGCAGAATGTACGTTTCAGAGATCTAAGAAAGTACATTTTATTCTATACTTCATATTTTTAATAAGCTTTGGTGGGGGCTAGGAATTAATGTTTCTTGGTTTGTTGATATTTGTTTTAAGGGTCCTATCTTTGCTTATATAGTTTATATTTTTTATACTTTACAAAAATAGGAGCAACGCCTATTGGTTCCCTAAACCCAATAGTTTCTACTACATATGGAAGTGTGAAAGATGTGTGCTGTGCAAGATTTGGCTCCAAACATTTTTTTCATCTTCTTCCTAATGAGGCAACTGTCTGCAGCTTGCTTCTCTGCAGCAGAAGTGACACTGCCTGGGAGGAGCTGAAGGTAGGTGGATTCCAAGGCCTACAGCAGGGATGAAGCAGTCATGCAATGGGTCTGCAGGAGGAGCTCTGTGTTGTTTTGGTTTTTCACATTTTTCCATAATTTCCATAGTGTATAAATAGTAAGACCAAAAGGGACAGAAGGAGGGCCTAGAGATATAGCTCAAAAGTAAAACATATGCTTGGTGGATACAAGTTTCAATCCCAGTACCAAAGGACGGCAGAGAAAGGGCATAAGCTCAAGTAAGCTAATTTAATGGTCTGTTCCATTACACTTGGAGTACATTGTACCATCTGTCATTTCTGCATTTTATAAGAAACCTGAAGGTTCTTGATGTGAAGTTTTTCTAAGAAATTAATTGAATTGTATATAGTATCCAGTCTTTTGGCATTGTGATACCACATTGCCATCTACAAACATGGGGTATTCCATTCATAGCTCTCCTGGGAAGCGTGTCGCCTGTGTGCCATGGATTGAACATGCCTGAATTGGGCAGTGCTGCTAATATGTATGAGTAATTCAGACAGAAATTGGACTTCCTAATCATTACTTATCACCCACTTCTTAGTAGAGTTTATTGTTTTCTGTAACTTTTATATAAGGGAACTGACAACATAAAATATTGATTGTGAGTTTAAAGGTCACATATGCTTAAAGATTCATCCTTAGTAAATCAAAGATTTCTATGTTATTTTTACATATTACTTGGTACTCACTATCATTTCTAAAACAATTTAAACAATTATATAATATTATAGAACTGATTAAGACTTTGATTTTTAGGGAAACACCAGCAAACCTTGTTAATGTGGATATTTTTAGGCCATATGTTTGTGAGCAAAGTAGATGGAAAGAAAATATTAATCGAATTCCATGAAAGTAGACTGTTGTATCTTTTTTTTTTTTTTTGGTTTTTGGTTTTTGGTTTTTGGAGACAGGGTTTCTCTGTGGAGCCTTGGCTGTCCTGGAACTCACTCTGTAGACCAGGCTAGCCTCAAACTCAGAAATCCACCTGCCTCTGCCTCCCAAGTGCTGGGATTAAAGGCGTGTGCGACCACTGCCCAGCGACTATTGTATCTCTTAATTCTCTAGTCATTATTGAAAATATGAATTAGTCACATTATAACTTTGATAAGATAGATTTTGTTCTTTGTAAATTAAAATCAGTATCTTTACATCTGAGTGGGTAAAGCCACTGAATACTAGGCCTGATGACCTGAATACAGTTCCCAGGAGTCACATGATGGAAGAAGAGAACTGAACTCCCACAAGTTGTCCTCTGACCTCCACACTTGTACCATAGCATTGACCTACATACATGCAAGATAAACGTAACTTTTTTAAGTAAAGAAAAAAGCTGGGCACCTACCACCAAGCTAGATGACTTAGGTTCAGTTCTTACAACCCACATAGTGGAAATTGTCCCCTGACCTCTACTCGTGTCCTGGCCTGCCCCTTCTCTCACCACACACAAGGAATCGAACATTCAAAAATCTGGCTCTGAGTTCACAATCTAAGTTACTATAAGAACATGGTGTGGTTCATGTACTAGCAAGAGATCCTGATTTTAATTTGTTTCTTCCTTAGCTCACGTGTCAAACAGCAATGCATGTCTTGCAGTTAACAATCAAGGAGCCATGGGTTTTATTGGGAGGTGGTTGTACGGAAACACACTTGGCTGCATATATCAGACACAAGGTAAGCTAAACATTCTTCTTACAGTATTTGAATTTTCAGCAATTTTTGTTTTGTGCGAAAATAGCCAAATCATAATACCCTAGGAACCTTTGATACATAACTTTTCAAAATTCAGATAATGTGGTTGATTTCAAGAAATTAATATTTATAAATACAAGATGCTAAATTGATTGTGTTGGTTATTATGATTCTAATCTAACAAATGAGCATGTTCTTTGAGCATTGTCTATATGTAAGGCATGTTAAAGTTGACATTCTGTTATTGGGAATTCTAAAATTCTCCAGCATCTGATGTTCCAATGCTTAAAACTAAAGGGCAATATAATTTTAAAGAGATCTCAAGCATTTAGCTGATATAATAAGTACTTCATTCATCTTTAGCAGTTTTGTCTGGTATGCATTGTATGTTTGTTTTTAAATCATATAATTGTCTTTTATATGTTTAAAGAGTAACCACTGGTCAACCATTTAGAATAAGCTGATGGAAGGGTTAATCCCTTCATTCTGGTCACATGATTGGATACATACTTTTACTCTGACCAACCATGGTTTACAGCCTAGCAGATTGACTCATACAAGCCAACCAGCATTGTTGCCAAACTCTGAGTAGTAAAGGTCACTGACTTTATGAACAAGATTTTAATCAAGTATCCTATTTTTCTGAAGCATTTTTGTAAATGTTGCTTTTCTTTCCTCAGATGAAGAGATGAGATGAGATGAGAGCTGTACCCAGGCTGTGTGAATACATGGCTTGGGCTGAGCCCAGAGCATTTCTTTCTCTGTCCCTAGACCTAGGCCTGCAAGCTTCTAGCCTCTGTATAATTTAATTTTCTAAGCTAACTGATTTATCTGGCTTCTCTCAGCTTCTGTCTGAATTGCTCTGCTTGGCCTTCTACTAACATTGTTCTAATCTTCTGGCTTTTTCTCATTCTCTGGATTGTTCTGTCTTCGCCTGTGTCTAGCTTGTTCTTTTTTCAACCTGTCTCTGTAAAACTGCCATATATAAACACCATACCCCTTCTGTCTCTGCCTGCTCTTAATAGCCTCTCTTTCCTGTGCTGTTGTTATGAGAGTTGGGTATATCCTATCTCTAACTCATTCTGTCATATGTTTCTCTGATTCATCACTTTGTCTGCCCTTCAGTTACTTGTCCCGTTCAAACATGGCTGTTTCCTTCTACAAACTAACCTCACCTTCATTGTTAGGGATGAAAGGAGTATGTATACTAAGGGCATGTCTGTATTCCAACCGGATCATACTATAATTCATGGCATGTCTGCATTTTAGCTGGATCTTATAGATGAAGAAGATTTTTGGATATGATCCCTTGCCAGAGCAGCGATGTTGCTGGATTAAAATTCCTCTACACATTTTATGTTAATTAATATGTATGTTTTCACTGGTCACCTTCTTTAGGTTCATAATGAAGCAGAAGCTATTGTCAGAGATGATGGGTGTTCTCAGGCAGAGCTCCACATTGCTGCTGAAGCATTTTGCAGTGCTCTGGAGTCCGTGGCTGGCTCTTTGGAACACGATGGTGGTGAAATCCTCATTGACATGAAGTATGGACACTTTTGGTCCTGTCAAGCAGATTCTGCCTCTCTTGGTAACTGGCCAGATACACTGTCACAGTGTGGCTGTGGTTTGTACAACAGCCACAAAGAGCTCCACTGGTCTGTCCTAAGAGGCACTTATCATCCTTTTGCACCACAAACCTGCCTTCCACAGGCAGCTGTGGGCTCAGCCAGCAGCCTGACTGTGGACTGTTTCACTGCCAAGCTGAGTGGCCTACAGGTGGCTGTAGAGACAGCCAATTTGATTTTAGATCTTTCATATGTCATTGAAGATAAAAACTAGCATAAGAGAATGGCATATATACGTTATGAAACAAACTGGTTCAGGTGTCTAAGAGAGCATATTGCTCTCTCCCAAAGGCCTGTTCTTCATAGGTGAACAGATGATTTGTAAAAGTATACTTATATACATGTACACTTAAAGAAGATTATGGTTGTTAAATAGAAATTTATAAACTAATAAAAATTGTTGATAGCTTTATATCATCACCATCACCCCACTTTTGGAGGTTTACAAACACTAAAGATAGTATGTCACCTAGGAATATGGAAATTGCCCTGATGCTGCTTCTCCAAGTTGTTCCAACAAGGGATGACCTGTATACCTTTTCATTGGCAGGTTAGAGTCTTTTCTTTTCTTTTTTGTTTTTTGTTTTTTTTGTTTGTTTTTGTTTTGTTTTGTTTTTGAGACAGGGTTTATCTGTGTAAGCCTAGCTGTCCTGGAACTCACTCTGTAGACCAGGCTGGCCTCGAACTCAGAAATCCGCCTGCCTCTGCCTCCCAAGTGCTGGGATCAAAGGCGTACGCCACCACTGCCCAGCATGATAGCCATTTTTAGTTCTGTACATTTAGCTTTTTGTCAAACTTGATACCTTCCTTGATGTTACATTATTGCTCTTATTTTAAATATTGTATGAATTTGTTGGTATATTTTAATAAAATGATCTTTGTTCTCTAAAGTTGTATATAATCCTTACTAAAAAATACTGGAAATGTAGCTAAGAATGCAGTCTCAACTACTGCAGTCTCAACTACTCAGGATGTCCTGGCAGAACCATTGCTCAAGCAGAGCTTCAGCCCTGCCTTGGCAACACAGTAAGACACTTCTCAGAACAAAAAGGTTGGAGGGGAAGTAGAAGACAATACTTCCCTCATACTTGAAGAAAACTATTCAAATTCTGGTGGTAAATCACGACATAACAATTCTTGATGGAAATCATTTCAGAGAAGGAAAGTCTGGCAGAAATAAGTGACAAAAAATAAATTAATCATAGGCACATTGTTGTGATTAGAAGAGAGGAGCAAGAGCGGTGGCTCGGCAGTTAAGATAACTGGCTGTCCTTCCTTCCATGGGACCTGAGTTTAATTCCCAGCACCCACATGGCAGCTCACAGTCATCTAACTCCTCTTTGAGGAGATCTGACATGCTTCCTGGTTTCCACAGGTACCAGTTAGGCATGTAGTGTACCGACATCCATGCTGGCAAAACACTCACACATACAAACTAATAGAGATTGAGATCGGAGTACCGCCTTAGTGGGTACGTCAGCAGACAGCAGGAACCCCTGATAGCTATAAAAGAAGAGAGGAAAGGCATTGCAGAAGAGAATGAAGTCAGTGACTGCCATGGAACTTCTGCGGGTCTCATAGGACACTGGGCAGTCAAATTACCTATCCAAGTGAGTCCAACATTTATTAACATCTTACTAATCAAAAGAGAAGAGGTGGGGCAGGAAAAAAGTGGAGAATTAGAGCCAATGTATTAAAATTATTTACTCAAAATACTTGTTTGGTCTAATGTTTAGCTCACTCATACTATGTTAAGAAATCTCTGTATGTTAGCTATTTAAAATCAACACTACGCTGGGCAGTGGTGGTGCACGCCTTTAATCCCAGCACTTGGGAGGCAAAGGCAGGTGGATTTCTGAGTTCGAGGCCAGCCTGGTCTACAGAGTAGTTTCAGGACAGCCAGGGCTACACAGAGAAACCCTGTCTCGAAAAACCAATAAAATAAAATAAAATAAAATCAACACTCTACTCACTGCCAAAGACCAGCCTTGGTTTGGAGAGGGGTTCCTGAGAGGAGTGTTCGTGTTAGTAATCTCTTAAACTCCACCTCCACAGTCACCTGGCAACAGCCAGGTATGCTCCTCCCCACAGTTACCTGGCAACAGGCAGGTAGGCCTGCCCACTATAAAAGGGGCTGCCTGCCCCCTCCTCTCTCTCTCTTGGCCCCTCTACCCCGTGCCTGCAGGTTGCTGCCTCCCCTCCCCTCTTCCCTTCTCCCTCTCTCCACATGGTCATGGCCGGCCTCCACTTCTCTGCTCTCTCTCTCTCCTCCCACTCTCCCACTCTCTTAATAAACCTTCCCTTGTGGAATTGTCTAGTCTGCTGTGATCTGTCCGAGCTGGGTGCGCGAAATCCTTTTAGTTTGGGAGTTGCGAAAAGAAATGACTCAAAGTCAAAATCATGGCTCCAAGCTGGTACCCTAGGTTCTTTCCCTGTCCCTGTCCCTCTCCCCTCCCCTTCCCCTCCCCCTCTGTGCGGGGCGCGTGTAGTCGTCTCGCCGGCAAGAACACACACACACACACACCAGAATCCTTCCGTATGAACACGTTTATTCCCAAAAACCAAAATGGTGGAAGAAAACCCCCAGGCTTGGGAAAGCACTGCTATATACCCTAGAGCGGTGTATTCACCTCTGATTGGCTGCTTACTCGTTGCGCGCCAAACGCCGTGGGATGGGCTTTAACTTTGGCGGGCTTTTACCATGGCACATGCGCAATTTACTTGTTTACTAGGAAGAATTATGGCTGATAGCGCCACCTAGCAATGGCGGACTTTGCCAGCACCCGCCGCGGCTCCCTACATCTGCCCCTTTTTTGTTTTAATACAGAGGGTGGTAGAGGTCCCTGGGAAGGTTACGTAACTCCCATATTTGGGGGTCTCACGGCGGGTCTGAGTCTCTTTAGAGGGTGGTGCCCTTGGGTGCAGCGGCTGAGGAATCTGTCTACTGGCTATTCTTGGCCTGTCTGGCGTGGTACCAGTTATGACTCAAACTCAAGCCCGATCAAGCAAATTCTATCTTGGGGGAATAAGCGATCAAGGACTAATAGTTTAAGACAGTCTCCCTTACCCTATCAGGTGCAATGGAAGCAAGTCCTTTGAGTGCAAGGCCTAAGGGGAACAGAAAGAGATGCAAACACCCATCCCTGTGCAATGGAGTCATCTCCTAGGGGTGCAAGGGCTGTTTGCCTCAAAATTCAGGTACCACAGCTACACAGACAAGGACCAGCCAGGCCAAGACTCCTCACTGACCCAGTGTAATGGGCAAATCTTTTGGGGTGCAACGCTGATGGCCTAACATTTAGCACCACCACTCGTGAGGGGGAGACTGCTTATAATCGAAGCAGTGATAACCACACTGCAGGGGAAGCCCCTAGTTTTTTGGTCACAAGCGCCTGTGCAAAAATAGCCTTGTCAAGATTTTGTTGAGCTCTGAGTTTGCAAGCCAACCAAAAAATGAACACTAATCCGCAACATAGGGCATACCAAACAGGCCTACTCCCACCCACTTAAAAAAAAAGAAAAGAAGAAAAAGAAAAGAAAAAGAAAGCTGGAGAAATCCAGGAGGACAGTCCCTCAGTCAGGGACAGATCCACGAGCGTCGAGTTGATGTTCACCACAGCTGCTCTCAATTTTCTGAGTGTCTCACTGAAGTTTTCTGACCAATTTCCTGTAAGATACTGAAACAATTTTCTGGACAGATTAGTTACACGAGTAAAGTTTTTATACTGTACACTGGTGATGTAAAGTGTACCCAGTTTTTTCTCACATCTCAATTGGGCTAATTGAAAGAGGATATCTAATCTCTTTCTCACTAAATCAAGGCGTTGATTAAGGATCATTAGCCCGCCTTTTAGTTGGGCGCTGGCGGAGGTTTGAAGGTTAACAGCCTCTACCACCATGGCTGACAATAGGTTGACGGTAGTGTCCATCTGAACAGAAGTTGACATAGCAATCCCAGTGGCAGTGGCGGTAATGGCACTAACTAATATCGTCGCCACTATGGCTGCAGTTATACCAAAATCTCTTTTTTGTCTAAATAATGACAAAGTGGAAGGAGTCTCCACAGGGATGGGAACCCATCGCGTGACTCTGGCAACCATAGCGCGAGTGAATCTTTCAGAATTTTAACACTGGGACATCTAGCAGGTTTCATTGGTACAATTCTTAAAGGTGAAATTTGATAAAATAAACAAAAATACTAGGAACCCGTATCCCTTGGATCAGCACAAGGGCTATCATCAGAGCCTGGAGGGTCCGCCTGGGTGTCACCTTCCGGTATCGCGAGTCGCCGCGTCAGCCGCTCTGGTAGCCAAAATGGATTGTCTTCTTCCTGTGGAAAGACAAAGCACTCCCCTGGCTTTTATTAAAATAGAATCTGGACCTTTTCATTGTCCGGTCAAGATGTCCTTTTATTTGACCATCTCTTTTGGCCTGTCAGGCTCTAAAATATTGAGGGTAAAGGGTGTTTATCTACCCCTCATCAGTTAATTGTCAAGGGGAATTAGGACTTGTATCTCCCTTGAGAATATCTAACAGAAGTTTACATTCTTTTATGGTAAGCTGAAGATGAGGTTTTAGCCAATTAATATCTGTTAACAACTTTTGAGAATCATTAAAAGTAAACCATTTTTTGTATGGTACTAGAGCAAAGGCTTGTAGAAAAACTCCTTTAGAGAGATCAGCCAATAAAATATACAATGAATAATATATACTGAGAGATTTAAACGCTTTAACCTTTTGTATTAAAGCAACAACAAATTTTTTAAGGCCATTAATTATTTTTTGAGGCAAGCTTTTTTAATGAATGGTTTCAGGGGCTCTCAAAAATCACAAGCAATTTCACTTAATGCAAACCTCTCATCTTTACCAGGAGGTAAAGGAACTGTATAGAACAATCTTTTAAATCTATAATAATTTTATATGCATTTACTTGAATGGCAGCTGGAGTAGGCAAGTCAGGCTGTAGTGCCCCATTAGTTTTATAAATCTTAAATTTGAACTTTCTCTGTGTAGCCCTGGCTGTCTTGGAACTCACTCTGTAGACCAGGCTGGCCTTGAACTCAGAAATCCGTCTGTCTCTGCCTCCCAAGTGCTGGGATTAAAGGCGTGTGCCACCACTGCCCAGCCCTAGTGTTTTTTGATTAATTGAATAACCAACTCTTTTTAGCTGAGTGAAGTATCAGATAAAACCAAGCTGAAGGCAATCTTGTCCTTCAATAATTGTTAAATAGCCCCAGTATCTATCAATCTTTTAAAACCCTTTTTCTTTTAATTATTAATTTAAGATTAGGTTTCTTGTTATTAATAAGACCTAATACACATCAAAGGAACCAAAGCCGTTTTGTCTTCTATCACACTCAAAAATTTTGGCCTGGCCCACAAGCTGTTTTGAATTTCTTTTGAGTCTGAGGCTGACACCTCCCTAAGGAACAAGCAAGGCAATAAACAAATTCTAGAGAACACCCTTTTTGAGGTGGGACAGGACAAAAGGAATGTCTGAAATCCAAGCTCCTGCCTCATCTACTCTGTTA